CATATGTTCCCTGTTCTGCGCATTCCCTTAATTTGGTTGGAGAACATGTTGGGAAGGGCTGTTTTTATGCAGTAGATTTTTTTGCAACAAATTTTGTTACAAATTTTAAATTGGAAGTGGCGATTATTACCTGGTCATACCACAAAACAGCCGACTATACGGACTTAAAAGGCAGCCCTCGTCCCAAAAATGTAACACTAATTATGCCGAAGATATCATACAGTACAGTAGTTATCTTATTTATTTGCATTGCCATCTGCCATTTATTATACCTGTTACTATTATATTATATTTCTTTATTATATTTACAGAGTTTCCATTGGGGATTAGATTTATAGTGCTAAAGAGTTAGGTAAAAAAGGTTTCTTTACCCATTTTTATAAGTATTTAGTGCAAAACACAGGACGGCTTGTATTGGTTTTTAGTTATGTAAATATTGGCTGGGAATGGTTATACGTAGAGGTTAGAGGTTTAGATAATCTAAGACTAAGTGGGCCGTAGAGCTCTTGACCTACACGGGGACTAGCTAAGGGGACTTATGATTGTTTAGACTTATGATATACGCTCTCAGAATTCTTCAACCTATTTCCTTAACTCCTCAAGGTTATCCCTCTCAAAATAATTCTAAAAGATGTAGTTTTTACCACTTCCCACATAAGTCCTTAACACGTTGCAGTCTGAAATATTTCATCCTTCCACAAAATCTAAAGCCCTGTCAAATTTAAGCAATATTAGATGACTGAGCTGAGTTTATTCCGAAGCCGGCAAAGGAGCAATTGGTCGGCAAGGGTTAGCCTTCCCTTCCCATATGGTTTATGGTCCAGCTTGGTTCAATTTGCTGGTCGATGGTGATGGTACTCGATATTATGTAATAAGTGCCAGTCCTTAGTGCGTGACTCCGCTGGGCTGGGCGACAGTGTGAGACACGTGCTTGGGCCCCAAAATCTCTCTCGAATCTAAACTCTCTCTTCCCGACTCCTCTTTTCATATCACAGTTCCGGCTTTGTCCTCCGTATGGCGTTGGGGTTCTCATTTTGCAGCTGGAGAGGAGAGCTGCAGCCAACCGCAGCCAGCTGCAGCTGACCGCAGCGGGGCGGTCTGTTGGGAGCTTTCAATGGGTGTGGGTGTGGGTGTGGGTGTGGGTGTGAGTGTGGGGCTGGTGGTTGGTGGGTTGTGCAGCCTGTGGCAAAGGTAGCCGGCAATTATTCATTGCGCATACGACCCGTTCGACGCGCTAATTAGACGCTGCTGCTGTCGATAATGAAGCCGCTTCTGATTTCATTCGGTATCCCTTCTCCTCTCTCCCTCTTTCTCTCTCTCTCTCTCTATGTTAAATGATTATGCGAATGCCAGACCACGCCTACGACCACGCCCTAAAGCTGATGGCACGTCCATCGTCCACCGTCCAAAACCTAATGCCCACCTTGCACTGTCCACCGTCCACCGTCCACCGCCCTATGTCCTACTGCTGTCCATATGGCTGGGCACGCCCCACGGCTGTTTAAGCTGTGAAGCACGTCCGCGCCGGCATCTGACGTGGCATGCATTCCAGCCAGCCACTAGCCAGCCGTGTGCGATATCTGCCTCGCCCTGCTCTGTTCTAGTTCCGCCCCTTCCTCTTCCCTTGCCTCCTGTTAAATGGCTGCTTCTAAGGCTCGATGCTGGCTAAGGCAAACGGACCAAGGAACATGAAACAAGTAACAAAAGTGCGACACAAGTTTCTCCCCCTTTTCCCTTTCAGACGGCGGGCATGTTTTGGGACAGAGAATCGGCCTGATTGCGGATCAAAAGAGGAAAAGAGGCAAAGAGGGGTGACATCCCCATCCCCATCCCCAGTCTGGTGGTAATGGGATTTACTGTCCGTCACTCTTTGACTGTGAGGGCCAAATCGAGGGGTAAGAAGACGAAACGAAACGAAATCAGAGCAGAGCAGAGCAGAGCAGAGCAGAGCAGGAAAAGCACTATCAGAAACTGTCCTGTCATCTAGTATGTATGTAAGTATGCTGGAGACATTATCCGACTCAGATTGTATACTTTACGGGCTGCTCAACAATGACAGCCGTAGAGCCCCCAAATCTGTCTAAGAATCAGTTTCAGAATCGGGTTCCGCTACTTACGTACAATATACCACGTTCTGCTAATGGGGGTCTAATCTAGTGACGACAGCTCCAACATGCAGTCCAGTTCCACTCTCCCTTATTGGAGCACCAATGCGTTTGAGAAGTACTCGTATGAAACAGTTGAAGTCAGAATTCAAATGGAAGTATAACTAAAACTGTGTAAAAATTGAAATCTTTATCTACTAGTGCAATGATGGTGCAGCAGACAATACGAGTATTTCAAAAAACAATCAGATGAAGACAACAAATAGGTTTAATTCCCGATTTCGATCCGATGCCAGAACTTTTCTTAGCTTTCTTAACTTTGAGCCAAACTCAATGTCGCTTTTGCCACTAGTTCCATTGTGGCCCCATCGTGTCCACCCAAAATGCTGAAGATGCTCCAGTGGCTACATGGACACATCCTGCCACGTCCTCTCGTATGCATGATACTGTTGTTCGGGTGTTGTATGTATAAATAAGATATGTTCACGCTTCCTTTGTCCTGATTGACGCTCCTGTGCCGGGCTCTGCTTCTTCTCTTCCTTCTACTTATGTCGCTGTTGTCGCCTTTGTCGCTTTTATTACCAGGCTGTCAATGTCCGCATCCGTATACGTATCCGCTGGCATATTTCACAACTTTGCCCAAATTCGTCTGCTTGGCAGTCTGTTTCCCAGACACTTTGCACGCTCAGCCGAACTGACCTCTGATTCCCGTGTGGCACATCGGGCGCCCAGATGTTGTTGCCACTGTGTCTGCGTTGCATGATCCGAGCCTTAAGGAAATGTGTGGCCATAAACAACAGTATATGGAATGACTGCGTTCGTGAGGCCCAAGGGATCAGCGGAGCCGTGCGCATGCCCCCATCCTCTTATTTGGCCCTTATTCAAATGTGACCCCACAACCCGTGAACCGTCGCTGATGACGGTGTTGCTGGTGCTGGTGCTGTTGCTGGTGCTGTTGCTGGTGCTGTTGCTGTCGCTATCGCCTTCCTTGGTTGCCCTTGGCTACGCACGATTTAAATTAAATTGCACTTGACGCATTTGCCTGCAGAGCTCTGTGTTTGAGCCATGACACGGCTGGCTGGGGACAGGACATCAGCATCCCACCCGGGACGACATGGAAGCAAGCAAGCGAGCGAGTCCGAGCAGAAGCAGGAAGCAGGAGCAGGAAGCAGGAGCTCCCTTCCTACTATTATTCAATTAGTTGGCCATCTGCTGCTCCTGTTGGAGGGGACTCTGGACCCTCTGTACGTCAAGTGCCCGTAAATAAGTAATAAATGTAATCCAATGCCTCTACTCTGGCTACAGGTAGGAGCTGGAGCTGCCGTCCCAGTGGCACGGCATGGCATGTATAAATGAATAGATGGATGGAGGCTGCATATAGGAAAGGATTAGTAGGGGTTGGAGTTTCCCCTGCTTTGGGGCAGAGGCTTGAAGCTAACCGAAAAAAGATAATCCTGTGATGGTTGGGTATTCGATTACTGAATCGGAACCAGATGGAGTCATAGACCCAGAGCATTGGCGAAGCAGGTGGAGCATGTAAGAGTGGAGGGCGCTGAAAGGAACAATGGTGGAAATGGGGGAGGACCTACGACCGAAGGAAGCTGCCAGTGCACACAGAAATCTAATTTAAAATGTGCACACACATAGAGAGGGAGGAAATCAGCGACAGACAACAGACAACAGATGGCAGCCGAGCTGCCGAGCAGCAAGAACCAAGAAGAACAGGGAACGTGGAACGTGGAACGTGAGCACCTGGACCTGGACTCCAGCTGATGCTGCTCCAAGGAAAGTGAACTCGGGAAAAGGAAGCCAAAGGTAACCGACGCAGCCGAGCGAATGGCAAACAAGCGACAAAACAAAATCAAACCTTGCCCCAGGACCCGCCCCAACCACGAGGGCCATATGCTGAAAGAGGATGTGTAGATGTTTAGAGAGAATCCTTGCACCCAAGCACTGCGATTTAATCTTATAATGATGCTGGTCTCCATCTCCGTTCGAGTTCCAGTTCCTGTCTGTGAACGTGAACCAGCCCCTTTAACCCGGAACGTGAACAAGACAATATTTACACGTTTTCGCAGTTCATCGTTTGATAGCTACCAGACCATACTCGTAGCAGATCCAAGCAGACCCCACATCGGTCGGACCTCGATTACATAGGAGCACGAGAGCATGAGCACGGATTGAACAACCTGCCAGGGCGCTGCCAGGGCGCTGCCACTGCCACTGGCTGAGACTGGAATGAGTAGAATGACAACTGGCTAAATCCTCTGCCAGCATTCGTCGCCAATCAGTAGTGGAGAACTTCTAGATATTCGCTTTCAAATGCATGGGAGAGAGCCTCCTTCGTCTCCTCCTCCTTGACGGCCTCCAACAACATGTGGGAATCGCAAAAGATTCCAACTATTTTTGAGCAGTAGTTTTTGAGCAGCAGTCCCAGGAAAAGGCACAGGCACAGGAGCTGAGAGACACACAATGAGAGTGTCTAAGTACCGCCTTACCAGTACCAGCTCCACTTTGATTTAATCTTACACTGTGGGTAAAACTGGATTTAATTTGCATTTGTGAAGAATTCAAACTTGAGCGAGTTGGGACATGACAGTCTTATTTTGACAGGGAAATACATACCTATTAATAATATAAACCTTTGCGAGTCATTGTATATGTTTAGGTTTGTTAACGTTTTCCTGTAGCTCTTTTTTCAGTGTAGAGGAAACATATCCTGAGATGGCCTGCTTCTATCTCTCCTTACATTACTCCGCCCCTCAAGTTTCTTGGATAAACATCAAAATTGTTGAAATTTGTGTAGCTCAAAGCTCATCCTCAGCATCATACAAAACAGCAAGTGGGCAAGTGTGTTGCAATAACAGATACAATATATAGTACACGTATTATATATTGAGTTCCATGAGGGAATGTATTTAAAAGTTGCGAAAACGGACAATTTTTTTGATTCTTTAGAGCCAAGTTCTTTTAGATTATTGCGAATTTTTCGCGTGATTGGGGCCTACGTTACTATCTCATTTCTTATTCCCTTTCTTCTTCCCTTGACATTCTGCCGCCTTCGCGGAAGCAGATGTTGTCGGCTGCTCATCCGGATCAGTATTTGCGGGCCACGATCTGTCCCCCAAATTTAGCTCTGAGTAGAATTTCCAACAGGAAGGAAACAACGACACGCGATAGCAGTGCTCTGAAGCCACCAGAAGGTTCTGCACGGAGGTTGCCTTCACTACCGTAGAGTTTGGCTTGATGTAGTACTTTTCCTGGCGCTCGCCCCGCTCGCTGGCTACTGTGTCCGTGCGAAGGTACTTGGCGCCCGCCTTGGTGATCACGCAGAGATCGATGTTCGACCCGGAGCCCAGGTCATTGAAGACCCCCGCCGAGATGGCCTCGCGCACGAGCTGCTTGCCCTGCTCCAGGTCAAGATCCGGCTTCCAGCCGTGCTCCAGCACGGTCATGGCAGCCAAAGTGCCCGATCCCATTGCCGCGTACGGCAGCTTGTCGTTGGAGCCGCACGAATGGTTGCAGTAGATCTGAGGACCCCACCTGTCCACCCCTCCCACAACCAGGGCGGCACCAATGTGGCCCTGGTAGCGGAAGAGGGTACGTCGTAGCATTATGCTGGCACAGACGACTGGCACCAGCCGTTTCGTGCTCATCTGGTGCAGATTCAGCTGTGAGGAAGTCGTCAGGGTTATCATTTCAGTGTCGGCGGCAGTGCCAGCACCACAGCAACTTTTGGAACGAGAAGAAGTTAGAGTTAGAATACTACAGTGACGAGCTTTTCTCGGGTGGTACGCACTAGATATGATTCTGCAAATAGTGAATTTTGGAGCAGTTCTTATCGGATACCATTGGACCCTCGGTGGCCCGCGTGTCGGCCCCAAGGATTACGCCGTCGCGATAGATGATGCCCACAATGGAGGTGCCAGTGCGCACCGGCGTCGGGGGCTGAAAGCCCTCAGCCAGTAGTTTCGCATTGCTGAGTGGAAATGTTGGAAGAAATTTTGTCAATTACTTATCCAGTTTCCTCCTTGATCCCGCTTCCGACCCGACCGCTTCTTCACTCACCGCCGGCAGTTAATAAAGCTGAAGCCGCTTCGAGGTCCCAAATCGGCATTACCCTTATCCTGAGTCGAAGTGTGAGATAGAGGCAGCATTGCAAACAAACAAATAAAACTAAAATAAGTGTAGAGGCAATTTTTACTTTACTTGTATTGTAACTTTTGTAAATTCGATTGTGAACGCTCAGGCTAAGGTGTTTTCCAACGATTCGAACAGGTTCCTTGGAAAATTAATGAAACCGAGGGAATGTCAAAGAACAGTAGAGTTCGTATTGCCATACTTCAGTGGTGAAAGACTTGTGGGGAAAAGCAGGTAGTTTGAGCGAGTCGAAACGGCATAAATAGTTTTTATAATATGTAAACTCATAAGAAATGGTCGGTAAGAGCCAGAAAATATCAGAATTCGGATAATTGAAAGTATTGCAAGCTGAAAAGCGGGGAGAGGTTTTATCGAAAGATAAAAGACTGATTGAGAACGGGAAAGTAGATAGTATCGTGTGGAGAGTGGATGCTTTGTTCGTTCTGCAATCTATCGTGTGTCGGCATTTCAAATGCCAACAATTTGACAGCGCCTAATTGGTTGTGTTCCAAGCATCTTTGTTGCATATGCAAGCATACAAACATGTCAATGTACATATGTATGTGTGATAGTGTTTCGCTGTGTGCGCAAGTGTTTGCTTGGATGCGTTTCCGTATCCGGCTGACTCTCCAGCCATGTTTGTCTGTGTGTGGTGTAAAGTTTGTCCGGCTGCCCCTTCAATCTGACACGTGACGCGGTCTGGCGACTGGAACTGTTTGTCGTGCCGCAATTCAAGGATAAGCATGCACATGTCTGCGTACATCTGTCCTCCCTATGTGAATCTAAGGTGTCCCACGCCCCCCAGAAATGACAAGCCGAGCAAACAGTACATGCCGAACCAGCCATGCCGTCCAGCACAACCAGCCACTACGACGATGGTTGGGGAGTGGAAGACTTCGAAAGTGATGTCCCTGTCCCTGTCCCAGTCCCCAAGACAAAGGGCACAGCACATGTCGCACAAATCAATTAGCATTAATTAGAATCCAATTATATGTTAATCAACATTTGGCCAGAGACGAAAGCCCGAGCACGCAGGGTCGATGGGAGACGACGATACGGACATTATAGATGGTCGCGATAGTCGCAAGCGCCGGCAGCGTATGCGGATGCGGATGCTGTTGCTGTTGCTGTTGCCAAGCTACCAGTCGCAACTTGCAAATCATGTAACCAACTTTATGCATCTTAATTGCGTGGTTGCCGGCTAGAGGACAGCTCCAGCCGCTGCCGCAGGAGAAGCCAAGAGGAGTTCCCGTTCCCGTTCCAGTTCCAGTCCTAGTCCTATTCCGATTGCCCGCCAGACTGCGGCATGGAAGTTTGTCTTGGTAATTTCGGACCAAAAAAACTTTTGCCTGGAGCCAGGAGCGGTGCAGCGGTGCAGCGGTTCAGCGGTGGCAGCAAATGCAAATGCAAATTCAGCTCGAACAATTTCCTTTGCTACCCTTTTATTATTTTTTTTGTTGTTTTGTTTAGTTTTGTGAATATTATTTGCGGGATTTTGGCTTTTGGACATTTGAATGCGGAGGCTTTCAATTAATCCAGGTCCAGAGCTGGTCCCAGCTATGAGGTACCTGAAGAAGAGATACGAAGGCAATCGACGTCTAAATGCAACCGATTGGGGCAGGCTTAATCAAAAGTTGGCAATCAATTTGTATGTCTTGTTTTGTTAACAGCAATTGGAAAAGTTTCCAAAGGGGATCCACAGATTCCGCAAGTTATTCCATTCGTCAATGGAAACCCTTTTCCCGCCCTTCCTGCCCGTCCCTTTTTCATTGCTTATAACTTTCCTGCCTGCCCAAATATAATTAGGGGTCGAAGGGAACAGGCTTGGGGTCGCTGACAAAGGATGCGCCCTTAGCTGATTGGAAGATTAAAAATTAATAAGATTATAAAGTCATTTTCGGCTCAGTCAGTTGATATTTATTTGGGTTCGAATGTCAAACAGTGTTTTGGGCTCAAAGTGGGGGAGACATGGAGATGGAGATCTGGCTATCCGGCTATCTCTCAAATTTCAATCAATATTTATTAGCTACTATCCCATTAGATAAAGAACCTGCTACAGAGCAGGTGCCCCTGCTCGTATTAAACTGTTATAAAACGTATCCGACCACGAGTACTATATGACTGTGGCACAAAATATCCGACTAATATCTGGCTCCCGGACAACATCTCTTTGAATTTTTTTTCTATTTCCTCTGCCAATAAGCCCCACAACTCACACCGATTCATTGGCCGTGTTCTCGTTCCATATGCCAACCCATGCGTAAAGTGTGTGGTGTGTGTGTGTGTGTGTGGCCCGTGGTTATGTCCTTTTTTGTGTGTATTTGTATGTGGCTCAAGAGAATCTTCATTATGTGAAATATTTCATTGCATTTGATGAAAGCTTCAACTTTGAAGCAAAAAGGCGAATCATGCTCTGCATTTTTGTCCTGCTGCCTGCTGCCTGCTGCATGCAGCATTCTCTGTCCTGTCATGTCCAAACCTGCACCCAGACACAACCCTCCGTCAACCCGCACCACATCATGCTCATGGCTTTGACTTTGCTGCACAAATTGTCAATAGTCCGAGTAAACACACGGACACATATACTACTTGTACAGCCAGTAGAGTGGGTGGGCCGTGATGAGGGGTGCGGTTGCTTTGATATCCATGCTCCTGCTATTGCTCCTGGCCGTACCCGTGTCCGTGTCCGTGTCCGTGTCCATGTACGTCCGGGAAAAGGGACTTAAGTGGGTCCGATATTTCCCAGCGGTTGTCCAATGAGCGCTGCAACTCTGGATTGCCGGACTGCCCTTCGAGCCATTGTCGCTGCCCAGTGGGAAAATGTCGGCGAGCTCAAAAGGGTCGCGCCTTTGTGCAAAAAAATCATTTGCCAGTCCAGGCCATGTGATCCGTCAGGAGGGCTATAATCATATGAAAAAGTCAGCTCCCACAGTTAATTAGCCTTACATTTAAGTGTGTGTGCTGGTCCCCGTCCCCATGTGAATAACAATTATCGTGGATAATTTTATTCAGAACTACGTATGTTCTTTGTGGATTAGCCAGATTAAAGTAGAGAGCCATTTTAGAGAATCAATCGTATGCATGTTCATGTCAAATTAGGCAAGGAAAAGGTAGATAGCCGTGCTACAGGTTGTCCCACAGGGGGAACCCAATTCCGAGTCAATGGCTTGGAAGCGCTACATTTCCACGTTCATCCGGGCCGAACTCCGCAACAAATGATCTGAACAGGGTATACTGGAATAGGAGCAGCAGGAGGACCTGCAGATGGAGCTGGAGCTGGAGCTGCAGAAGTGGAAGGGGAAGTGGAAGTGGTAGTGGAGTCGTCTGCTGGCCACATAATTCAATTAGTTATTGCCGAGCTTATTCTGGTTGGTTGCCGCTCCTGCAACTCCAACCGCCGCCACCACAGCTGGCACGCTGGTATGTGCAACATGTGTGGAGCCCGGGTATGTTGCAGCAATTAAACGAGAATTTCATTCCGTGGAGGAGCAGCAGCAGCTGGCGTGTCCGGGTGCCGCACGGCAGGCGAAAACAAAATGGGACTGGCGGGGAGCACTACCATTGAACAGAACTTTACTCAGAAATACCCTGTAAGACTTAAGCCAAACAACCATTGGACTCCAGCTAAATTAAAATCTTTCTAAGCAGACTACTTTCATCCTTGGAGTTTATTCTGTTTGGCTCTCTCAAAAGTATCTCAAACGATTTATCGTCAAATATCCGAAGATTATTTGATCGTTATCCTTATATTTTCTTATTATCTGTTATATATGTACATATATTTCAAATATTTACCTTTGATCCCACAGCCAAAACGGCCCTAAACTCAGCTTGAATTCTGTGCTCATTTTGAAATTAAGATCGGAATAAAAATGCATTTTTGAATAATTGTACTCAAGGCAGAGGCTTAAGTAGCGGGCAGACAGACAGGGCGCAAACTTGGTCAATAGCCCATCATACCTGTCTACAGAGCACAAGCCCTGGCCGAAGACGGAGCATAAAGAGCCAAGAAACAATACGAAAATCGCTGGATTCGCAAGCCATTCAGCGTGCCATTGCTGGGGAGTCAACCCCTGCCAAGCACACACTTACATCTGTAGAAAGCGAGGAAAGGACTCGGCTTCAAAAGGTTGCTAGTGTGTCCAAGAAAAACGGTAGAAATCTGAATAATTGTGATTCCTTATCACAGGAAATTCAGACCTGATCTATGTACGTGTACTATATCGGGATCAGTCTTTCGATGTGTAAATAGCCCAGGATTCACGAAATAAACAAGGAAGGATTAAGTGGGATGCGTGGGTAAATAATAAAAAACTGATTTTATATTTTATATAATTTATAATAAAATATTATTTTCTGGATTTGTTCCTAGAAAAACCTTACAAATACTTTCCACTGTGATTAATTCAATTTAGCTCAATTCCGAGCCGTTTTCCGTTTTCCGAGTCCCCCGTTTGATAGGGCGTTGACTGGGCGAATGCGAATATCCCCCCACACCATCCCTGCTGCCACGCTGCTGTTGTTCTTATGCTTCGCCGTGCACTTTGTTCTCTTTCCTCCAGCCAGAGAACTTTGTGGCGCTCTCCGCCGTATGCAGCCTTCGTGCAGCTGTTCCTGTAGCCATACCTATACGGCTACGAGTATTTAGGTGCGAACTGCACTTCTTTTGCATCGGAGTGCGGGTGCGGGTGCGAGTGCGGCTGCTTAGAGCCAATGCACACACACACACCGGGTGTGGGTGTGGATGTGGGTGTGGGTGTGGATGTGGGTGTGGGTGTGGGTACGGGTTGGGGCTGATGCTTATGACTTAATAAATACTCCCCAGTTTGCGCAATGTGGCTGGCAATTTAATAACAAAAGCAAACGGCATTGAAATAAAATGTACAGGAAAGCAGCAGGTGGAGGCGGAGGTGGAGATGTGAGCCAGTTCGGATACTGTTTTTGATTTACTCCACCAGCTGGAAAATAGTGCACGTAACATTACTTGATGGTAGATGGTAGATGGTAGCTGGAAGGAGATGGAATGGCCT